GCGGCATTTGTGGAGTTCTCAGTAGGGGTTCTCTTATTTTTTCTCAATATGCGCTTAGCCTTTTCCACCCTCATCTTTAAACAGGCCCTTACTTTTTGACCCGCAAGCCACTTGTTCTCAGGTTTATCAGGGCCTCCCCTCTTATGATGCATACCACGCCTAGTGTCAGGACCATACAGCCCACCTCCACTCCGTACACCATGTGCCCTTTTGGTTGCACAATAATCATGATCTTTCAAGGCTCTATGAGTGCCACCAAAGCCCCAAAGTCTTCTCTTTTCCCTTGAAAAATAATCATGATCCTTCTAGGCATTATGTGTATCAACAGACCCCGAAAGTCTCCTCTTTTCCCTTGAGAAATAATCATGATCCTTCTAGGCATTATGTGTATCAACAGACCCCGAAAGTCTCCTCTTTTCCCTTGAGAAATAATCATGATCCTTCAAACACATGGGGAGAACCTCCTCAAGTTTCTCTAATGTGTGTGAGTAATCTGTCTTGTGTTTCTTATTCACAGACCTCAAAACAGCAGCTTTGGAACTGTGAATGCTTGTGTTTTCACACATGGCTCTCTCAGGGTTTGGTGGTGCATTTTCCTCTGAGGAACCATGTGGTCTTTTCTTTTTTTTACCGTGTCCTTCTACTTTGGTTTGGGTGGGGTCTGGTCCATGGGGTTTCTGATCCTCAGGGTGGGTGTTTCTGTGGTTTTCAACAAGTGCTGCTAGAGGCCTTCAAACTGGCACGTGTTCCTCTGGTGTTTCTGGAACATTGTCTCTCTCTTGGGCAGTCTTGCATGAGATCACTTGGGAAATATAACATTGACACCTCAGCATCAACAATCCACTTCCAAGATGAACGCACACTCTGTCCCTAAACCTTAACCTATCTCCTAACCCTAAAACACACACATGCTGACCCTCAGCCCTATCCCCAAAACACACACAGTTTTAAAAGTTACAAGGCTGAACACCCATGCTTTAAAAGAGCCATAGCAAAATTAACCCCACCACCCCGAAAACACTTAAAGAGTTTCAAAAGCTTGATTTCAGAAAAATGAACCTTTCACTACAGGATAAAGACATGATGGGACATGCTTGCTCTGGTTTTCCATTCTTCAAGAAGGGTTTTCTGCTTGGGGTAAACAGTTACAAAATGATGTTCTGACATAAGCCTTATATTAACACACCCCAAATATCTCTATGTACAGAGAGTTAAAAATGGTTACGTACATACCATCCCTGTCTTGTTCTGCCCCCCCTTCAATTTTTCTGGTGTAAAGTTGGGCTGTTTCCGCTGTAATGAAGACCCCCCAAGAAAGAGTAAGTAAAAGATACTATAATGAAACAGAGAAGATATCTATACAAAAAGAAGTAAATGAAGCATTAACAAAAAAAGATTTATAAAACATATGAGTACATACCTAGATCCTGTCTGGGAACAATTCCAGAATCCTGAGAAAAAGGGTGTTTTCTGCCCTTCTCAAGGTTATATCTTGACAACTTCTAATTTTAATATGTACGAGGTTTCTCTCATGGTTTGGCAGGTCATCGTCAAGGACTGCCCAGGATATTGCATACTGGTCTTTAATTCGTCCCTTCTGGTGGAGGACAGCCCTGGTTTTTGCATCCTGCCCTTTGATTTGTTCCTGTAGGCCCATTGTGACGGATCCAACACCTATTCAATTTTGGGTGGTACACACCCTGCTAGTCCCCATTGTAACATTCTTAGGCATGAAAGCAGCAACTGATAAAATCAAAACCCTTGAATTTTGGGTGCACACACCCAGCCAGTCTTTTTTGCAAGGTTCTTAGGTGTGAAGACAACACCTTGCTGCAGCCATCAAGTTACAGCTGTCCTGTACGGCTCCACAGATTTTTCTTTAGGCCTGTTCCAACATGTCCTTAGCTGTGACCTCTTATAACCAACAGCCCTCTATACCTTCCCTTAAAGAATAACATCTGTAAGAATGTGTTTCTAATACATTTTATTTTCATCAGCCTCTGTACAAAATTTACACCTTTTGATCATTTTATACTATATCCTGGCTACACTGTTCTCTGGAGCAGGAATTTATAATTTCTTGTTCCAATTAATATTCAGTGTAGGGTACCAGAGGTTTATCCTCCTCAAGAATAACACCATGTAAAGCAGCATGTGGGTCTCCAGCCAGATGAATATGGTTTATAATTGCCATGCCCTGAGCTAAATGTTTCTCAGTGAGGCACAGACAATCCATAGAGTACGCTAATGCCATTACAGCATTTAGAATACTCTCCATACACAGTTCAATACAAAGTTCCTGAATTGTCTGGTTTATATCCTCATCTGTCCTGTCCATACATTCATGGCTTCCTTGACCTGGTGCATTTATGAGGCAACCCCTGCAGGCTTCAAAAAGTCTCTCTCTCAAACAATATTTCAGTATGCCATAACAACAAACACATACAAGAGATTTCATGAGCCTTCTATGACTCCACGTTGACACAGGTCCAGTTCGTTCAATTCCTAGTTGTCTTCTAAAGGCCACAACACCCTCTTCTTCTGAAGCACCAGGACTCTGATTGCCACAAAAGCAGCTTCTCTTCCCAAGTACCAAAGTTATAGAGCTGTTGCTGCATTGTCTTTCTGGTATCATGAGAAAGGCTTCATCAAGCTGCAGAAGTATTTTAAAGGAGAAACTCCAGTTACCCTCTGTTTAAGGAGTTGATAGTCAATTCCTACCCCCTTCCTGCCACAATACCCTCCCTAAAAATCCCCCCCCACACACAAACCAGCTCCTCTCCAAGTTCAAAACACCCATCAGTGGCTCTGCACCCCCAGAGACATCTTCTTCGTCAGCATCCAAAATGAGACATCCCTCTTCTCCAGAATCATCAGCATCTGCTCTGGGCCCTTGGCCACCAAACATTTCAGGAAATGTTTGGGTTAGGGGGCTACTCTCCTTAATCTCCCCCTCTTCAGAACTGTCACTAAGGTAGCGTTTTTTTTGTAGACATCTATCCAGTCTTCGTGGTAAGGCAGGAACAGAGGGCCTTACTGGTGTGGTATAAGAATCCATACTTACCCCTTGCAAAGAGATGAAAGAGTTAACACAGGCCCACCCTGTTACTGTAGAAAGCTGCCCCCTCCAAAATAATTCTAGGCTATTTACCTCAGTAGGGTCTTTGGGGTTTAGGTTGTCTGCCACTCCCAGGCTCTCTGCCTGTGGCTCTGATGCGGTCTGTTCCACTTCCAAAGTGTAAGAATCCATATTTGCTTCTGCCTGTATTAGTGTGGTCTCAGAAAACATGCAGCCTGGCTTGGAGGGTTTTCCCAACAGGATTTAGACAAGAGGCAGGCCAGGGACTGCCAACCTAGGTCCCCCCCACCACCTCTATACTTGCCTCCCTATTGGCTCAGCAGCGTTCTTGGGTGGAGGAGTTTCCCAGTTAATTATTGACCGTTCTGATATTACAGGCCATGTGATGGGGACAAGATGTTCTGGGACATAACATGGCGGGCAAGTTGGCCACCAACATGGCTGCCTGGGGGTTCATGGTTGGAGTTTCTGGTGGCAAAGGTCAGGGGTTAGGAGCGGGACTTCTGGCTGCAAGATGGCAGCCAAGATGGTGGGCAGGAGGCATGTCTAGGGATGGGGTTGGGGCGGAGCTAGGGCAGGGCCAGGGGTGGGGTCAAGGGGGCGGGGCACCTGTCAGTGGGCAGGCTTGTCAGTTTGACAAGAAGTGTACCCTATATCCTACTATCACCTGTCATTTACCTGTCAGACAGTTTCCAACCAAAGCATGCTATTTTTATGTGCCCTTTCTAGATAATCATTCTTACATAGTGCACAATGGAATGATTTAAGATAAATCAGGGTGAAAAGTAAATTTGAACATATTGATTGATAAAAGTTTAATAGCACCTTCTGCAAGCAGACAGAGGCACATTACTTTGAACTGAAATTAGCAATTAGACCCCTGGTAATTGAACTATCTTTGCAATTGGTTACCATGTAGCAAACTGATCTAGGTCTGTTTGTATGTGTCCAGGACAAAAATGTGCCTGCAGTTTGCTTGGCCCCATCTTAAGTAGCCAACCAGTCAAGTCAATGATTGGCATTTGGTTCAAGTTCTTGTTCCCATCTCATCCATTCATGAAACAATTTCCCAGAGAACTTTCTTTGGAACACAAATTTGTTTACTACATCAGTTAAATTATTAAACCAAGCTTAGTTTCCATCAGCTTGGCCAAAAATCCTAGACAGCAGTCACCTGAACAATGAACTTAGCATCTATCTGCACTGATAGCTTCAGAATGCTATACTTCACTTTGACTGGGTTCTATCAGTTAGGGTGACTGTTTTCAGGCATCTCTGAGTTGTACAATATTTACCATGCAATATGGAAAAAAGAAGTAAGAAAAGACAAAGAAAGACACACAAGTGGACATAAGCTAGATCTGGTATAAGGGCAAACCCACTAACTACTAAAAAACAACTATGAACAAAGAAGACCAATTCTCCATTCATGTAAGAAAGGTCCTTGAGGTAGCTGAAGGAGTACAGAAATGGTCAAGAAGGCCTTAGCTGACAAGGAAAGTGTGTACCATTCTGGATGCTTAACTACTGCTTTGTTCCCTTGACCATGAAGAGAACACACCCTGTATCTCTAAAACTATAGCTCTACAGTCCTAGCTGTATAGCCTTGACTTAAAAAAAAACTGTTTATCCCTGGGACCTAATCCAAATTAAAAGGAGTAAAACAAAGTCTGAAAGTACTAGAAAACAAAATGCTAAAAAATATTTGGTGCAGTAAAAGAAAATGGAGTATGGAGGAGGACATATAATCAAGAGCTTGTGGACCTTTAAAAAAGACCTGAGCACAGAGAATGTAATGGGTAGGGCATATCATGATAACCAAAGACAGAAGGCATGTGAGGCAGATTTTGGAGGCTGAGATAGAAGGTATCAGACCTCGAGGTAGACCAAACAACTATAGGTAGATAACATAAAAACTGATTGGGAAGAGATAGGCAAAGATGCAACAATGTGAAAGGAGACTGTGCAAAATGGGAAGTGATGGAAGGCAATAGTTAAGGTGGTTATAGGTCTCTGAGGCCTGTAAGATGAGAGAGAAAAAAAAGTCATTAAAGTTTTCACAAAATGTCTCTCTAAAGCACAGGTTACAGCCCAGTTTCCTCCTAGAGTAGATATTCTTTTCCATATTTATCAACTACTTAGTACTTTGGCACTCCTATTTCTATTGCCACCCTTACTATGTTATTTGAAGCTATTTCCATAGTTCTCTTTTCAGTTATGGTAAGCAGCTGTGGGTCTAATTAGTACTATGCCAGAAGTAGTTTGCAAGTTGCTCTACTAATGATTAAGATCAAGCAAAGTCAATGGACTTCAAGAGCCTCTAAAGCTGCAACAAAACAGTGAAGTTATTTTTAAACTATGTTTTAACTCACAGGACCAATTTTTGCCTAATACAGGGCAATAGTGCTTTATCTACCATCTGTTATGTAACTAGGGGTGGCGAGTTAGGCACAAATCCTGGGTGCTGATTAGGGGAGGATGCACCAGAACCAAGGCTCCCCAAGACAGTCTGCACTGATATATTTTTTAGGCCTGTGCAAGTAGGCAGCTATTCAATCCGGCTTCAGATCTGGCCACTTCAGATGCCAGCAATCTGATCCAGAGCTCCAGACTGGGTTCCCACTTCAATCCAGCCAAAGCAGCTCTGAAGCTTCAGAGCCATCTCGGAGATCCAGCCATAGGGTATAATGGGGAATCAATGAAATATCTATAACTTTGTTGTTTTTTGTCTGATTTGGATGAAACTTTCAGTCATGGTAGCCTCTGCTGAGAGGATGAAGCCTGCCAAGCTTCAAAAAGATCAGTGTAGGGGTTCAGGGGGAACTGTACCCCAAATTCTTGAAAGCAAAACTCATGTCACATGTAAGTGTTACACCGGGGGGGGGGGGGAAAGCTGCAGGGGTGGTGGCCCCTGCTGAGGCTATGAAGCCTGCCAAGTTTCAAGGAGATAAGTGCAGGAATTTGGGGGGAACTGCACCTCAAGCTGCTGACAGGCAAAACTCGTGACACTGGTGACACTGTGTGTTAAGGCACAGCAGGGTGAAAGCTACATGCCTGCTAGCCCCTGCTGCATGCACGAAGCCTGCCAGCTATTGAG